TTCTTTCTTTCTTTCTTTCTTTCTTTCTTTCTCTCTCTCTCTCTCTCTCTCTCTTTCTCTCTCTCTCTTTCATCCAATTTATTAATCAAATTTATACACCACCCATCTCACTGTATAAGTGACTCTAGGTGGCTTACAAGTAGAAAACAATAAAAAACAATAAAAGCCTTTACAAAAATATACAAAGCTAAAAGATGGAGAGAGCATCCTTAAGGCACCAGTCACCCCCATTGGGTCCCCATGCCAGCTGGCAGAGCCAGGTCGTAACGCTCTTCCGGAAGGCCAGCAGAGTGGGGGCCGATCTCACCTCAGGGGGCAAGATATCCCACCGGGCGGGGCGACGGCAGAAAAGGCTCCCCTCCTAGACCCCACCAGTCGAAAATCTCCAGCCGGGAGGGTCCGCAACGTGCCCCTCCTGCCAGACTCAGTGGGACGGGCCGATGTAACAAGATGGTTGCTCAGGTAACCTGGTCCGTGCCACGAAGGGCTTTAAAGGTCATAACCGACACCCTGAATTGGACCCGGAAGCAAACCGGCACCCAATGCAGCTCGCGCAGCAGAGGTATTACATACGCAGCTCTAAGGGCGCCCCAAACTGCCCGCACCACTGCATTCTGCACCAGCTGCAGCTTCCAGATACTTTTCAAGGGTAGCCCCACGTAGCGCACATTCCAATAGTCCATGCGGGAGAGGATCAGGGCATGAGTGATTGAGAGAAGGACTTCCCAATCCAGGAAGGGGCACAACTGGGGCACAACACAGAGTTGTACAAAGGCCCTCCTAGCCATGACTGCCACCTGCTCCTTCAGCAGGAGTCATGAGTGCAAGAGGACCTCCAGATTACGCACCGGGTCCATCTGGGGCAGTGCTACCCCATCCAGGACCAAAGATGGAAAGTTCTCGGATGCAGACGGGCCTCCAATCCACAGCCACTCCGTCTGTTCAGCTGAAGCCTGTTGTTCCCCATCCAGACCCCCACAGCCTCCAGGCACCGAGAAAGGGTGGTCACAGCATCACTCAAGTCACCCGGGATGGATATGCATAATTGGGTATCATCTGCATATTGATGATACCTCATCCCATGGTGGTGGATGATCTCACCCAGCAGTTTCATGTAGATGCTAAAAAGGAATGGGGAGACTACCGAACGCTGGGGCACCCCATAATGGAGGGCCCATGGGCTGGACCTCTCGCTCCCTATCAACATTGATTGGTGTCGGTCTTGGAGGGGAATTTTGGGAGTTGAAGTCCAGACATCTTAAAGTTGCCAAGCTTGAGAAACACTGCCCAAGATTGTCCAAGCAGAGGTTGTTAACCCAGAGAAAGTGTTCAGAAGTATAAATGAATAATACAACCTGATGTCTGGGGAACTGTGTTCATGAAACAGAGAAGCAAATATCCATGGAAAATAGAGTCTGATTTTATCCACGTTGCACAAGAATAGAAATTAAGGAAACTGCATTTTGTTTAAAACCTTATGAAAATCTGCTTGGCGAAACGTGGGGTGAGACCGTGCATTTTGTCAACAAGCTCCTGAATGCAATTTAACTCGAGCAAAAATCTCAACTGCAACTTTATTTCATCAAAGGCAAGGAGAATGAATGCGCTGGCTTTTCCCTTTCCTTTCTTGTGGGCATCTGGTTAATGATTGAGAGCACACATATAAGCCATGATCACCCTTGGCTTTTGAGGTCAACCAGCAACTTTCCAGCAGCACTTTCGCTGGACTCCCTTGCTGGGACCAGAGGGTCACCCCAGCTCGGTGGCTGAATGTGCAGGACTGGATTCACACAACATTAAAATTTTTCGGGGGGAAATTGTGTGTGAACCTGGTCTGTTTGGTTAATTTCTAAGTGTAATGCAGGAAACAATTTTTTTATTGGGAAGGATTCTCATTTTAATTAACCCCAGATAACGAAGGCCCGGCTTAGTGGCAGCACATAACCAACTTTGGTTGGTGCTATTTAGTCCTTGGATGGGAGACCACAAGGAGATCCCAGAGCTGTACGCTAGAGAGTAAAAACAAGACATTCCAGAAAGTGGGAGTGACAAACCATTTCTAATTTGTTGCCAAAGAAATCCTAGGGATGTGTCCATGATGTGAAGCTGCATTTGAATGAGACTTCACTTTTACAGTGCAGTAAGAATGTTTCTGGCTTTAAGAAAAAAGAAACCAAATCAGTAGAAATTATGTAAGTGCTAGTGCATGGCTGAAATTGAACTAGGAATTACAAAATGCTATTGGAACAGCTGCTATTCCCCCGGTGCGCTCAGCCCACGGCCTCCTCTCACCTACAATATGATCCCACAGTAACCTAACCTACCTTGCAGGACTGTTCTGTAAGGCGAGGAACGTAGTGTGAAAGGACTGCATCAGATGCACAGAAAGTGTTTATAAAACGCAAAGCGTTTATTTCTTCAGAACACGTGAAGCTGCCTTTCGCAGTGACACTTGCCAAGAGGGCCAGCGAGAATGCCGGTCACTCGGCCACGGGTTCAAGAAAGGAGGCCGCGTTTTCCACCACTTGGATAACCACCGTTAGGTGTTTACGGACGTTGTCCCAGCTGCTCTGGTCCTTGGCAGCAGCGACCGCATCGGCAAGGCCCGGGAAAGTAGCAACGGGAGAGGACCGGGAGGCCAAGATGACGTGGCTGGGAGAACAGAGAGTCCAAAATGCAAACTGCATTGACAGGCAGTGACAAAGATGAATTCCCATCACCCAGTTCCACTGCATTGTGGGGCTGTAGCCAGGGGGGTCTGCACGGTGTGGTGAAAAAGTCAAGATGGCAGCAGAACTTTGATTGCACCAGCGCAGCTGCCATCTTGACTTTTTTGACCATGCTTGTAGCAGCGGGCTACTAATAGTTGGAACTGGACAGAATCCAACCTCGTGGAGGCTCAGCATGGGTAAATGAAAAAATGAGATGGGTGGGCTTGAGTTACCTGTAATAATATTTGTCTGGAAAGGCTCGCGGGTTCAAAAACGTCCTTTCTAGCAGCATCAGCTGGTCGTTCACCATCCGCAGAGCGAGAGGGCTTTGGGGAAACAAGAAAGGGATGGCAGGGAATGCAAGAGAGAGAGACACTGGTTAAACACCTTCCACTAAGCCTAACTGGGCTTGTTCAGGAAACAGCCATTCATAGAAGAAGCTAAGCCATCATTCATGGTTTCCGGGGGAGAATAGCTGGGATGGCACTTCCAGTGAAAGCAACGCAAAACAAGCCCTGGATCTGGGGGCAACTCAGCCAAGGCGCTGATTTAAAGGGGGCTTGGGAGAGGTCTTCAGTGCTAAGCCATCCTCCGTTGTGGTGGCCAGAAAGAAGGCTTAGCGGAGACTGTGCCCAGCAAGACTCTTGGCCCTTCCTTCTTCCACTGTATCCAGATTCCTACTGCTTTCCACAGAGCAAATCATCCTCATCCTCTGAAGGAGTTGGCTGGCTCTGGCAAAAGCCACAGGGCATCTGGGGGGCACCTCAAAAAGTAGCCAGCCAAGGCTCGCCCTCCCCCGAGACTGACAGCCGCTGCGCTGGAACTCTTGAGCCAGTCAGCTCTCGGAAGTGTGGGATAAGCAGGACCCTTTCTGCCTGCCCCAGCCGACATAAGGGTGGAGCTTCAACGAGGCCCCTCCCACTGGGCAACGAGAAGCAGCAGAGGGTCAGCCCTGGCAACCTGGGCAGTGGCAGCACCTTGCCCCGGGGTCGGATGCTGCCTCCATGCCTCAGCCACCCCAAGTAAAAACGCCGGCATGGCTGCAATGTGTGGCATTGGGGGTAAACTACTCCTGAACATGGAGGTTCCAATCCGGCTGCCTAAGCAAACAAATCTGGCCTCTTTTGGTAGATTTAACCTCACTCTTGGCTTTCAACCACTTGTTCCTTCTGCCAATTTGTGGATGAGTGTTCTGGTCTACCTGACAGGGTTGTTGCTAACAGAGGCCTGGCTTAGAACCATGCAACACTATAGGACAGTTTGAAGCCTTATAGAAATGTCTATTGTTGACACCTATACATATATTTTTATGTATACACACTCATCAGTATGGAAAGGATTAGAAAAAGAGAGAAACACCTGGGTGAGTCTTCATTCTGCAAGTGTGAGACGCGCTGGCTGAGACCGGCTGCTGCAGACTGGAAGCGAAGGATTGCACTGCGGAGCGGGGCTGGAAGCGAAAAAAGGAGAAAAGAAGGACGTCCTTTAAATTTCCTTCAGATCTAATATTTTGAATTGTGGGACAATGGATGCTGTTGGGAATGGCGTGAACTCTTTTACTGGGGCAAACTGCTTCTGGGGAGAATTCAGTGGCGAGAGGGAGGCGGGGAGCGTTCAGAAGGGCTGTGCAATTCCAAAAATATGCTTCAGAGCATGGAGGGCTGTGAATATAGTCCCTGTCTAAAATGCTGTAAAGCAGTGTTTGTCAGTGCTGGCCACTTCAACTCCCAGAATTCCCCAGCTAGAATTCTGGGAGTTGGTCCCTCCATCTTCAAGTGGCCAACGTTGACAAACGCTGCTCTAAAGTGCAATCCCAGGAAGAGACGCAGCTGCTTTAAAGAGTAGTAGACTGCTCGACTGTTGCGCTCCAAAGCACCTTTTCCAAATCATTAAATAAACTAACCCACCTGGCTGGATTTGTCCAAAACGCTCAGCCACCAAAGTCTAACCAAGGTTTAACTAAACGACTGTATAGCATGTTGTCCAATGGCCCTTTCCCTGATCTTCTGAAGCACCAGCTAACCAGTCAACCTCCCCCCACCACTTAGTCCAATAAACTCCCCAAATCTTCTAAGACTTTCACTCTGTTAGTTCTTCCTCATAAAGCCGATTGTGTCCTCAATTCATAGAATGCGAGAGGTGGAGCAGGATCTGACAGAGGACCATCCAGCCGCTATTTCTGTGTTTCTCAGCCTTGCAGGCTGGGGTATTCTGGAAGTGGAAGCCCACCCATCTTCAAGTGGCCAAGGTTGAGAAACACTGAATTAGGAGGTAGTTGTGGGTCGGGAGCAGTGCTTCCTCCCTCCTTGTTGTCTCCCAGTCCGACAGCCCTGCCAGGCAGTCCGGTCCTCCACTGCCACAGCCTCACCAAGCGAGATGTTGTTGCTGAGGAGGTCAGCCTGGAACGCCTGCTCGGCTGTGTCGTACATGGCTTGCAACATCTCCCCGTAGTCGCTCACGTTGAGCGGCAGAATCAAGGAGTCCGCCAAGCGCAGCAAGACGTTGCCGGCCGTTTGCGCCACAGCCCGGTGGCTGGTGAATCCTGTGGGGAGAAGGAAGACCAGTTGGCGGTGTTTGGGAAGCTCACCAGCAGAAGTATGTCCGGGATGTGTCAAAAAAGTCAAAATGGTGGCCATGACAGTGCCGTCCCAAACTCAACATGAATTAAATATATATTCAAGGGGGGTCAGCAGGTGGGTGAAAAAAGTCAAGATGGTAGCCCCAACCAAGCCCCGCCTTTTTTTCGTGCATGATGTCCCCCCCACCAGACCCCCCCCCCCCGATATATACTGTCAGATTCAGCCGGCTCGGCACGGCCAACGCCACTATTCAGTTTCACCGCCTCAGGCGCAGGCAGCGGAAAAGAGGAAGTCGGACAAACCGCAGGTTAATTGCCGGCAGGGGGCGGCCATTGTCCCCGGGCGGGGGCGGGAACATTTTGTCACCGGCGGCTCTCCTCCCGCGCCCCCCGCGCGCGCCACC